CCCCTGCACGAGGAGGGAGGGCGAGGACAAGGCGAGGCGGGACAGGGACAAGGACATCCGCACAAGGGGGCACAACGTCCGAGCACCCACTCCGGCGACCGACGCTCCACTGTCAAGATCCCCTGCGAGCTGCTGTGCTACAGCCTGGCCTTCTCGCCAGGGCCGGCGGCGGGAGGCGAGGCGGGGCGAGGAGGGGGTATCAGGGCCGGCCCGGTGCTCTCCGGGGGGCCCTCGTGGCCATCACGAGGAGGCGGGGAGCAGGGGGGGGGGCCGAGCTGGGGCGACGAGCGGGCGACGAGCGGGCATGGAAGGGCTCCCGGCTTTCGAGCACAGCCGCGCCAGAGAAGAAAAGAGGTCCGAGCTCCAGATTTAGGTCGGGCGTGTCCCCCTACAGGCGAACTTTGGACGACAAATGAAACAGATTCAATCAAAAAATAGTCCCCCGACTATTTCTGACTATTCTGGCATATTCCTGCTGTAGAGGGACGTGCCCGACTTAGCTCTAGATCACAGCTGTGCCGGGGCCAGGGCCAGAGGGCGGGGGCTGGGGCCAGGGCCAGGGACGAACGACGACGACGACGACGACGACGACGACGACGACGATGACGAAAATAATGGACTGGGGCCAGGGGAGGGTCTGGGGCGAAGGCCAGAGGAGGGCAGGGGCTGGAGCCAGGGCCAGGAGGGCTGGGACTAGGGCCGGGGAAGGGACGGACCACGACACGACGAAACATACCCTGGCGAAGGACCCAAACAAATACTGTCGTGAATAATGCGTTATGGACACCGCTCTTGGTAGAGCTCCCTACGGGGCCACGAGGCGCGTGAGGGGTGTGCCGAAATGGGCGGGGAACCGCACGTGGGCCCTGCCACTGGGGCCTTCGGTGGAACTCCCTAGGGGCCACGACACGTGTGAGCAGTGTGCCGAAAGGGGCAGGGAACCGCTTATGAGCCCTGCCACCGAGGCCTTTGGTGGAGCTGCCTAGGGGGCCACGAGGCGTGTGGGGGTTGTGCCGAAACCGGTAGGGAGCCGCATGTGGACCCTGCCTCTGGGCCACTGAGGCCTCTGGTGGAGCTCCCCAGGGGGCCACGAAGCGTGTGAGGGGTGTGCTGAAAGGGGCGGGGAACCGCATGTGCCACCGAGACCTTCAGAGGAGCGTCTGTGGGGCCAAGAAGCGTGCAAGGGGTATGGCCAAATTTGCGGGGAAGCGCATGTGGGCTCTGCCGACGGGGCCTTCGGTGGAGCTCCCCAGGGGGCCACGAAGCGTGAGGGGTGTCCCGAAAGGGGCGGGGAAATGCATGTGGCAGGGCTCCGGTGGAGCTCCCTGGGGGGCCACAAAGCGTGCGAAGGGTGTGCCGAACAGGTTGGCATGCGGAGGACAGAAGCCAGGTGAGGACGCGGGGCGCTGTCTATTCAGAACGAAGACCCAACACCACAGGACGATTTGGAATAGAAATGTCAGAGGAGGGCGGGAGCTGGAGCCAGGACATTTGGCTGGGACCAGGGCCAGAGAGGGGGCTGGGGCTAGGGCCAGGAACGAACGACGACGCGGCGAAAATCAATCTGTCCAAAGCCAGGGGGGCTGGGATCTGGACCAGGGCCAGGGGAGGGTCTGGGGCGAGGGCCAGAGGGCCTGGAGGCCCGAGCTACCAGGGAGGCCAGGGAGGCCAGGGAGGCCAGGGGGAGGGAGGGCAGAGAAGCCGCAACGACACGAAGACACGACGACACGACGACAAAAATAAAGCAATCCGCATCGCTGGGGGGAGGGCGGGGAGGCCAGGGGTAGGCAGGGGAGACCACGGAGGCCGGGGCTACCAGGGAGGCGATGGGGAGGTCCAGGGCAAGGGGGCAGAGGGAGGCCACGACGATGCGACGGCACGACGACGAGAACAAGTGGCGCGCATGCCCGGGCTCTTGCACGACGACGACGCAACGACACAACGACACGACGAACAGGCAGCAATCCGAAGCTCTGGGGGGGGACCCAGGGAGGCCAGGGAAGTCAGGGATACCTCCCAGCACTGGGCCGAAATAGAGAGGTCCGAGCTCTAGGCACAACTGAACCAGATAACTACTTAGAGCAGACTAGCACGGCTGGCTACAAAGACGAGGAGGAAATGGAGGACACTGGTCACATTGGAGAGGAGCGAGAAAAACAAATGACACGCCAAAAACGCCCTTCCGAGATGACCTTCCGCAACAGCGACAGGCGCACCTGAAAACCCACACCCCCGCCTGGCCTACGGAAAGGAACAGGAGGAGGAGAAGGAAAAGTAGGCCGAGAGGACCTCCTTCGGCTCCCTCCCTGGCTTCTGCCTGGAGGCCCTCTCCCGGCTGTCGGGCCTTGGTTGTGCGCCCCCGTCTGGCTGCTACACCCTCCGGGTGACGGCTGTGCCCAGCTCTCGGCGCATCTGCTCTGCCTGCGACGGCCCAAACTCAACTTTTGAAGGGGCCCGGGGACACACAAATAAATACACACAAACAAAAAGATTCCCCATA